GATACTGGAGTGGTTTGCCATTTCCTCCTCCAGCTCATTTTATAGATGAGGAACTTAGGCAAACAGGGTGGAGTGACTTGCCCAGGGTTGCACAGCTAGTAAATATCCAAGGTCAGATTTGAACTCAGGAAGATAAGTGTTCCTGACTCTAGGCCCACTGCTCTGTCCATTACACCAGCTAGCTGACCCATATAGTCAGTCACTAATCAGCTGTGTTGGGCAAGTCATTTATCTGTCTGAGTTTCTTCATCTGCAAAATAGCGATAATGATATCATCTACCTCACAGGGTTGTTGTGAGAGAAGATATACATATATATATATATATATATATATATATATATATATAAACACACACATATATATATATATATATATGTAATATAAATACTATTACTATGATATAGATATGGCTCTATCTCTCTTTCAGGCCAGAGTTGAGATCTGTAATGAGAGAATAACAGGAAGTTATTGGGCTATGTGGGGCAGAGGAAGGGTAAGGGAAGGTGGAAGAGGGGCATAGAATGTGAGGTAGCTGAGAGGAGATTCAAAAAAACTTCAGCTACATGGAAATTTTGCTTTGGGCTGGCCTTTCTTTCCACAAGGAATTTAATTCCACAAATATTTAATAAGTACCCACAACATACAGGGAACTATGCAGATACTTTGCATGCCCCAGAAATCAGATGGGAAGAGGTCATTCTATGACAGAGGTTTTAATTTTTTTTTTTTTTTGTGCCATGGACAAACTGCCTTTGGCAGTCTGGTGATGCCTGTAGACTCTTTCTCAAAATGGAATTTTTAAGTGGATAAAATAAAATACATAGTCTTGCAAAGGAAAGTAATTATATCAAAATATCATTATCAAAATAGTTTTTAAGCAAGTTTATAGACTCCCAGATTAAGAATCCCAGCTCTAAGGCCTCTATACCCTTGACAAAGTACAGCCATCATTGAATTTTTGGGAAGTCCACTTGCCATCTCTCATTCTATCTCCCTCTGATTTTCCCATTCTATCATTCTCCTATCTCCTCTGAGGTGATGAGGTGTAAAGGGTGAGGGCTGAGCCACTTTTTTACAGCACCAGGACCTAAGCTTCTAACCCTCTGTGGATACCCGGGATAGCAGAACTCCCTTTCTCCCCTTTACGCATTCCCTGGCCAACCCCAGCTCCAGAAAGATCACACGAGACGGTGTGTGTGTGTGTGTGTGTGTGTGTGTGTGTGTGTGTGTAAAGGGAAAACATTATAGAAATATCTGCTATTATTATTGTTGTAATGACGTCTATGGAAACCTGGGAGAAGGTTTACAGAGACAAGTCCAGGCCCAGTTGGTCAAAACTCACAGAAGGGATGGGTGGTGGTGCTCTGTGTTGGCAACTTTGCAGGAGCTGTGTGGGTGGTCTGATATTGAGTACACTATGCTTGAGAACTATCACTAGAATACTAGAGAATCTTAAGAACTGGACAAGACCTTAGAGGTTATCTAGTTGAAACCGTACTCAAGTATGAATTCAGTCTACAGCTTCCCAGACAAGCAGTTATCCAGACTCTTGGAATGCAGCCACCTTGCTTTGAGAAATGTTAAGACTTCACTTTGTTATCTCTTTTCATTACACAGAAAAAGACAAGTGTTATTATTCAGATGTCTTTCTAGTCTAGATAATTGAGCAGGTGCAAAGGAATGAAAAAATCCTTCACTTTTGAGTTGGCCATAATGCATTTCAGGCAACAGGATAGATCTGAATATGAACTGAGTGTGATGTCAATCAAATTCTTTTTTTTTGAAAGTAGAAAGGAATTTATTGCTTTCTCATGAGAAAGGATACCTTCCTAGTCTCCATTGTGGGCCAGGAGAGTACGAGTTCCTTACAGAAGTAAAGGCTTATTTATACCCTAATGTGATCTCCTCCTCCCTAATCCCCCCCCTTTCCCTTATACCATTGGCTGGGCTTTCAGGGGGTACAATCTATTCACAGAGACACAAGTTTTCCCAGAGACAAGAAAAGTCGGGAAGCTTTTCAAGGGCAAGCAGTTCAGGTTGGGGGCAGGGCTATTCTTTCTGCTGAGCGGGGGAGGGTTTTGAAAGCAACAATCAAGAACTATTAACAAGAACCATTGGATGTCAATCCAATTCCTCAAGACTCAGTAGAGCACACTAGAACGTAAGACTTAAAAGTAACCAGAACATTTTACAGTATAACTAGAAATTAGGATAAACAAAGGTTAATAATTACAGAGCACCACTATATTAAGGATAATCTTTAAATACAATTATAGAGTCATAGCTCCCTTCCCTCCTCCTGGCTGCTACTCCAAAGTGTTTTACCAGAGATATATTATATTATATTCCCTCTCCTTGACAGAACAATCCTTTCTCAGGGTCAAAAGCAGGCCAGGCATGTCCCTGTCACATTCTTCCTGTGTGTCTCTTGGTGATGTCTTAGCTAAATTTCAATATGTTAAGGCTAGTACATAACTCACAGTAGATGAGGGTGCCTACAAGTCTTTCCATGATGCCAAGAGGGTTTTAATGGGCCTATCCTGGAGCTAGGAGTGTAGGCCTTGAATTCTATGTAACAAAGTCTATCTGTGTTCAAAGCACCTACACGATCATTCAACACAGTCAAGTCAGCCAACATTTATTAAGTGCCCACTATATACAAGACAATAACAGGATCCAAAATATTTTGGATAGTTAGTTCATAAACAAAACTCTGAATGAGTGTCATTAACATTTATGGTGTTTATAGCTTTCCAACGGTTGCCTCAATGTAATTTGTAGGAACTCCGCTCCCTCTCAGAGATAAAAACTCAATGTATCCAGATATCATTCCTGAATTCATCATAATACTTATTTCTTTAAGGTGCTTTTAACTTTTCACTGAGAGGTCATTAATATAGGTATTGGTCCTTCATTTGACAGATAAAGCAGCTGAACTTGCTGATTATTATTGTTAATTATTCAACTTCATCCTCTTTTTTGAGCTTCAGGATGACTTTGTTTAACTGTTTGCTGGGCGTCTCTACCTGGATATCTCACTAGTACCTCGAACTCAACACGTCCAAAACTAATCTTGTCATCTTCCCCACTATAGCTGTTCCTCCTTTCAATGCACCTATTCTATTAATGACAAGACCATCCATTATCCCAGCCATCCAAACCTGCATATAATCTTGGACTCTTCCTTCTCCTTTACCCTCACATTCTCTCAGTTGTCATTTTCAGTGAATTCTACCTCTACTCTCATTTGAAGGCAATAGTTTCAGAAAAACCTAGGAAGACTTATTTGAGCTGATACAAAGTTAAGGTAGCAGAACCAGGAGACCATTGTATATAGTAACAGCAACAGTGTAATATTATTAGCTGAGGAAGACTTAGCTGCTCTGATCAATACAATGATCCCTGACAAATACAAAGGACTCATGATAGAAAATGGTATCTACCTTCAGAGAGAACTGATGGATTCTGAGTGCAAATTGAAGCATATTTTCTTTCATTTTCTTGCTTTTTTTTTTTTGCAAAATGGCTAATATGGAAATATATTTTGTATGACTTTGTATGTATAATGAGTATCTTATTTCTTGCCTTCTCAATGGATAGGAGAGGGACTTGAGGGAGGGAGAGAATTTGGAACAGGAAATAAAAATTAAATACACACGTATACAATAGCTATCATATCTATATTTATCACCTCCTCTCAATTCACCTGTTACCACCCAAGGTTAGGTCTTCATACAGATGGACAAATGGAGGAAACATTATTAAATGCTTATTATATGCCAGGCACTGAAGCTCTCTATAATCTGCTTCTACCCACCCCCTTCAGCCTTACTTTACACATCTTTCCTTCAAAGGCTGTGTTCCAATCAGCCTATATGGCTAACTGACCCCATCTCCTCCTGAGCTCTCCCATCTCTATGCAGTCTGTTGCTCATGCCTGAAAGACACCAATCTCTCAATTCCTTATTTATGATTACTTTTTTTCCCCTTTCCTTAGAAAGGCTTAACCACAAACCTTTCCTCATCTCCCAACCCAGCTGAAAGTGCTCTCTCCCCCTTCTCAAATTTTCCTCTCATCTCCTTTTAATCTGATGTAATGGTTGCTACAATAGGTGATAGCAGGACTTGAAATCAGAACTGGGTTTTTATTGGAACTTCCAGCTGACTAGCTGGTAAAGATGGACAGGAAACCTCATCACGTCTATAGACCTCAGTTTCTTCATCTGTAAAAAGATGTATTTATGTCACCCATCTCAAAGGGCCTAAGTGAGAAAAACCCTCTGTAAACGAAATGCTTTGTAAATCTTGGAGCATCCTTATTCTTTCCTTTGCCCTTTTCACATTTTAATTATTTTATCATACTTGTGTATGTGTCAGGTTCCCCTGATTAGTAAACTTCCTGAGTGCAAGGATTGTCATTTTTCATCTCTGGTAAGTGCCTTGCACGTTGAAGGGGCTGCACAAATGCTTGTGGAAATGAATTCCTTGCAGAGTCGGGATCCAAAGTCAGCTTGCCTGATTCCTAGCCCTGAGCTCTCTTCACCAGAACACCCTGATTATTTTAAACTCAATACAGTGGCTGGAGCTTTTCAAAACAATTTTATTTTTGATCCACATAAGCACTTTCTTTTCACAAATAAATAAACTAAACTACCTCCTTTTTCTTTATACTTTCTGGTTGGGGGAGAGGAGCTTCCCCAGCAGCCTTAAAACAAAGAGGGTCATTCTATCAATTCTTTGTCACGAACAGAGAACAGAGAACATTCTACTTATACGTTGTGTCCTATGCTTCTTTCCCTCACCCCACGACACCGGGCTGGACAGCTCCATTCCCACACCGCACCAGCCACCCGCAGCCCTGCAGTTCCTCCCCCGCCCAATCTAGATGTTACCGGGTTTGTCCCGCGCGTCCGCCTGGGCTGATGCCCTCGGAACGGAGCGGAAAGGGGCAGTAGGGGGCACAGGGACTAGGAGCAGCCGCCATGGAGCCCCAACTCACCTTGCCCACAGCGGGAGCCGCCACAATGAGTAGCAGCAACAGCAGTCTAGTCGGCAGCAACATTGGCAGCACCCTTCTGGACGCGCCCCCGGGACTCATGTTTGCGCCAACGACGCTCAGCGCCCCAGTACCGTGGACCCTTTCGCCGCTTCTCAGTCTCGACTCCCCATCCCTTTTCACCCCGCCCTCGGATGCGCTCAATTTGGGGGATCTCGGGCTGGAGAAGTTGGGCTGATGGTGCTTGTGAGTTTGTAGCGGGGGGGACTCAGCATGCCCTCTCCCCCTCAGGCAGAGACCCAGCTCCGCTGTCCAGTCCCCTCCCCACCTCCTCGGCTCCTACGGAGGCCTTGGGCAGCCTCCCTGGGTGGGAAGAAGCCCCGGCACAGGTCCCGCCCTCAGCCTCTTCTGGGGCTCCCCCTACCCGGGGCACAGCGGCCTCCCGGGAGGCTAGCGAGGGATGGGTGGGCAACCGCTGCCCTCTCGGGGGAGGCAGTAGCTCTTTTGGAAGGCAGTTGCGGACCAGGAAAGGTCATAGTCCTCTGGTTCCGCGCAGCCCAAACTCGCAGGAGCCGAGCAGGACGGGGGTGGGGGCTGTTTTAGGGGAGGAGGTGGCTGCTACGGGTGGAGTGGAGGGAGTGGTCATCGGGGCCGCGGGCGCATTGGCCGGGGGAGGCGCGCGATTTGCGAGTTGGTGCCCGGCTGGCTCTTTGCTCCGTCTGGGCTTTCTCGCCTTCTTTTCAGCGCTCCCTCCCTGTCCTCCTTGTCCCCCCAGCCCTGGTGACGGGAGCTTGTCATGAACGTGTTTTGAGGGGAGCAGGAAATCCACACCCAATTTAGGGGCGAGGTGGAGGTAGAAGATATGCGCAGGACCTGTGAGGCTGTGGAGGCGGAAGCGGCAGGGCAGCTCCGGGAGCAGCGGACATCACCTAGAGGTACCTCAGAGCTGGGGTTTTCCCAGCTAGAGAAATGCCAGTCCGCTTGGCAGGCTCCAGGGTTTGGGGGCGCTGCAGCTAGGGGGACACCTGTGGAGGAAATGGTAGAAGGGAAAAGCCATCTAAGGGCGCAGGAGCACTTGGGGTAATGCGAAGGGGGGAGGGGGAGAGGGAGTGACAGAGGCTTTTTGATTCTAGAGCCAGTCCGCCGGGCTTCCACTGGATGCCTTCCCCTGGTTTGTATGTTGATTTCTTTTGGGCGTAGAGTTACCGACCTGGCAGCGGTATCCGAAGTTGGCTCAGCCTCTGACCTCCTTTTGGCACGCATTCTCCGGAGCCCTGGCACCTTGTGAAATGCCAAGAGCAGGAGATAGCTAAGTGGAAAGAGAGCTCATCCCTTTCTCTGCGGCTCTGAGGTGGCATTTCATGCTGAATCTTATCTGCGGAAATGCCAGGTGGAAAACAAAATCTCCAGCCCTGCTACAGGGTCTCCCTCAAGAGTTGGGCCAAATTGAGGCTTTGGATGCATTTGCAGTATCCATTGTCCATTAATTAGTATGTCTGTAAATTCAGGTGAGAACAGTTTATAGATTACTGTTTTTATTTGTTAACTTCCTCAAGAGTTGAATTTCAGCATCAAGTCAGAGGTATGTGGCTGGTAATTTGCTTTGGGAAAGACATCATTTACTTTCCATTAGGATCAGGGTATATGAAGAAAATATATTTTGAAAAATGTGCAAATGCTTTTCAAGAAATTTTTAGTGAATGTACAAGTGATGTATGACAACCAGAATATTAGATAATCACCATAATCATTCCCTGACTATGCTGGATAAGTCAGTCAGTCAACAAGGATTTATTAAGTGTGTGCAATGTACTAGACCCTGTTTAAACAGTTTAGCATGTCATTGAACTTAAACTTTTACCAAGTCGTTTTTCTTAACTGCATCTGAAAATTTCCCCAAGCCTGGATCCAGTGAGCTGTATTTTTGCTCATCTTATATGCATATTATAGTAGTTGTACGCAAGATGGTAGAGACCTTATCAATATCATTTGTGAAATTAGAGAAAAGGAGACATCTATTGAACACCAGGGCAGCTAGGTGGTGAAGTGGATAGAGCACTGGGTCTGGAGTCAGGAAGACTCATCTTCCTAAATTCAAATCTGACCTCTGACCTCTAGCTGTGTGACCCTTGGCAAGTCACTTAATTCTGTTTGCCTCAGTTTTCTCATTTGTAAAAAACTGGAGAAGGAAATGACAAACTCCAGTATCTTTGCCAAGAAAACCCCAAATAGGGTCACAAAGAGTCAGACCAACTGAACAACAAAAATTGAGAACAAACTGCTTTATCAGGAAATCGAAACATTTCAGGGCTGCTATAAACAGACCACAGAAGTAAGTTGTTGTAGAAATGCAATGACTGTGTCTGTTTCTAGAGTTTATTTTGGGAAACAGTCACCAGTGTGACTTTTCCTGCCTTTCCTATGAGATAGGACAGCAGGTGATGTCTTCAAGAAATTGGATAGTATTCTCTGATACTCTTAAATGAACTACCATTAAAATGGTTGGTGGTGTTACTTCCTGGAAAAAAAATACCTTAAAGTCCAATGCAATGGTCTTTGATTTTATGAATGATGCATTCTGGAGGATTTCCAAATTTAGGTTGAAACTTGACTTTGCCAGAGGCAGGGTTACTTGGAAGAAACAGAATTGGCTTTGTGATTATATTTGGAGCAGGAAGTAGGAACTACTGTAAGTTGTGTTTACTGTGGAGAGACCTGAAATTAAAAAGGACTTCAAATGGAAATCTAGCATTATATAGCATTAAGATTATATTGTAAAAATATGAATACTTAAGATTATACAAGAGGCCAGTAATTCCACTGTGTGAATGATCTAGGGAATAGTGCAGCAGCATCTCTTAAGCCTGTCTACTTGAACCAAGTACACGTGACCCTGTCACTCTCTACTCTTAACTGCAATCATTTGTCTCTATCAGCATCTTTCTCATCAGGTAATGGCTCCTTACTCATACTCCAGAAACCAAGGATTTTATTTTGTATTTTTTTACCCCACAGCTCTTCAGATCATATGGTTCTCCTCCATAGAATTGTTGACTGACTAAAGTTTTGTTAATTTTGATTTTTCTATTTTGGTTTGGTTGTGTAAATTTGGGGAAGCTGATGAAGCAGGGGGCAAATATTTTTAATTTGCAAAGAGCAGAAAAATACACGTGGCACAAAGATAGCAAAGTGAAAAGTGGTTATTTGTAAATAAACATTTATGATAATTTTTATGCTGTACCACATTTTGGAATTTCTACCCCTCTCTCCCCCTTTTTAAAAGAAAAACAAAATCAAAGTCAAATCTGTTATGCTCTAATGGACTTACTATAAAGAAATAAAGCTACACATTTTCCCCCTGAATTCTAGCTCTTTTCATAGGCTAGTAAACTAATAATATTTTTGAAAGCAGTGCTGCTCTGCAGAATAGCATTTCATCCATTAGAAAATAATTTGGTATTCCAGCTATGAAGCTTATGCCATGGAAGTACTATTTAACTGTTCACATGGATTATTTAGCTGCATTAGGATGAAATCTAAGATTCAGTAGGAAAAATGACATCATACAACAACCAAGGATTAATGACATCACAAACTACTTATTCTAGCATAGCTTGGTACTATTCTGATGGTTATCATTTTCAAAAGATTGAAATCAGTAAACGAAAATATAGTTAAACTTTAAAATTTTGTAATTGGATAGCTCTGTGGATAGACCACTGGGCTTGGACAGGAAGGCTCATCTTCATGAGTTCAAATTTTGCCTCAGATACTACCTGTATGACCCTGGGCAAGTCATTTAACTCTGTTTGCCTCAATTTCCTCATCTGTAAAATGAGCTGGAGAAGGAAATGGCAAACCACTGCAGTGTCTTTACCAAGAAAACCTCAAATGGAGTTTTGGAGAGTTGACATGACTGAAAATGACTCAACAACAACAATGATAAGCTAGAGAGGTAGAATGGTTGTATGGAGGGTGTACCTTGGCAGCATGAAGGCCTGGTTTCCAGTCCTGTCTCTGACTCATACTGATTGTGTGATCCTGAGCAAATCACTTAACCTCTTAATGCACCCAAGAAACTCTGTGAGACTCTAAGTTACATGTGAGTTGCTAGTATGTCTTAGTAGAAACCCTATTGCATTGAAATCACACACACACACACACACACACACACACCCCTTAAAATATAAGCTTTTTTCTGATTTACAAATACTTCAGGATCTCATAATGCTTCAGTGTAATCATTAGGGACATTTATTATCATGCTCTAATATGCAAGGGTCATGGGGTTACAGGTTTAGGAGTTGAAAGAGACCTTGGAGGTCACCTAGCCCTCATTATGAAGAAAGACCTGAGACAAAGAAGGGTGAAGAGACTTGGTCACACAGGTGGCAAGAATTTGAATCCATATTCTCTACCTCAACCTCTAGCACTCTTCCCACTGTACTGCAATGCATCCCAATGCTGATTAACTGAGTCTGGTTAATGAATGACAAATGAAAGCATCCACTGCATTGGATTTTAATCAGAATCAAAATGATTAAATTTATCTAAATTTATTTAGATTTGCTTGTATTTCCAGCACATAATTTGATTTTACATAAATAGCATAAGATGTTTAAATTCTCTTGAATTTGAGAATTTTGTGGCATTTACATTTTTTAGTGTTGAATATTGACATTTGCAAAATGGTTATGTCTGAAGGAGCCTTAGATACCATCTAGTTAACTACTGTTATTTTTACAAATAAAGCTCATAGTGATTTTGTGACTTGTTGAAGATCACACAGCTAATCAGTTGAGAGAGCTGGAACTGGAACTCAGGCTTCCTCGGTCCCCATTTCAATACTCCAGTACTTCAGTGACACATAATTTCATGGGCAGGTAGATTATGGCAGGCTTATAATCACTTAGTAAAAGGTCTTTGAATATTTATGTGGCTAAAAAAATTCATCCCTCTCTGGCCAGTCTGATGATCAGCTTCTCTAAAAGTAAGTAGCCTGACCCTTAGAAGACAGACAGACAGCTCGTCCTTGGCCTTGGAGTCACAGCCTTTACAACCTGGAAGAATTAGCCAGAGCTTAAGCTGTTCTAAATCCCTCACATCATGAATAGGCAT